GCTATATAATTGGCTTGAAGTTTGCTTCCAGCTACATATAATCAGGCAGTTCTCTTGGCCATTTCAACAAAGCCAGCCGAAGGAGATTAAGAGAAAGATGATTACAAAGTCTGTCCGCGCCCACTTACATTGATTTGAATGGGATCACGTGATCAGTTTCCAATCCATGTTATGTAGTTATAAAATCTATGCATTAATATTACCTCCAAGTTTGAAGTATGTAGGAATTGTACAATGCTGTTGATTGGGAAGGGCTTCAGGCTGAAGGGCTGGTGTGGGTTCCTGTAGAGGAGGCATTGTAATGTTTAGTAGTATCGAGTTGACGTGAGCTTCAACGTGTCTGTATATGGAACTCTCTTTGTATTGTCTCTCATAATCTTCAGAATCAGAGGCAGCAAATAGCTACAAGAGAGAATGAAGAAGTAAATGTACATGTACATATTGTAAAAATTAAAATAATAATAATAGTCTTACTGTGTGCTTCCTGTAGAGTCCTTCTCCTTTTAGTGAGCTAGCATCATTTGGTAAATGTCTACCATCATTATACACCTCAAGGACCAGCCTCATACATGAAGGATCAAGATTGAATATCTGAGAAGAATGAAAGAACAAAAAGAAGTAAACAAATATGGTTGTTTGTGTCCCTACTTCTCCTATATATTGCTTTAATTCTCCAACAGTCCAACCTTGTTCTGCTCTTATTGGTTCAGCTGGTGCCGCCACTTCACCAATTGATAGATCAATCACAATTATCTTTAATTTCATGCCTATAACCATAAATAATAGAGTAAATGAAAGGGATTGGAAACTTCCGCGTGGGCGTAGCAATAATCCCATTTGATTGTATTGTTGCTAGGCAAAAAAATTGCTGACTAGGTGGTTTGTTACCTTTTGACCACAAAATTCTTGATTTTTTCCATTAAAATTAGAATATCTCCAAGAAGAGTGCTCTGATGAAAAAGAAACTCGACAATCAAGGAGTTCAATGTTTTGCACTGTTAATTATTATTTATTTGGTATATTTAAATTAATATTTTGAGTGTTATAGCGCTTTTACTCATAAAATTGCTGTTTTCTCCCTCTAATGAAGACATTTGTAGCTAAACTCTAAAAAGCTTGTCAGAATATAAAAGAACTTTCAATTACCTATGGAATGATATGAGGTACTGCTAGAATAGCAAAAGCATGAAAGCTGTAGAGGCGAAAAAGTGTCAAAAAAGATGCCGACTTTGTGTACCTATAACTGGTCGAAAAATACCTATAAAAGAACTTTCAATTACCTATGGAATGATATGAGGTACTGCTAGAATAGCAAAAGCATGAAAGCTGTAGAGGCGAAAAAGTGTCAAAAAAGATGCCGACTTTGTGTACCCATAACTGGTCGAAAAATAGCTCAATTGAAACAAAAGCCTTGCTATAGGTAGCCATAAACTTTCTATGTGGAACAGAAGATATATCATAAGCAAGCGCTATCTAATAGTTGCACAATATTCCTTCGAGATCCTTTCTGCACAACAACTACTGTGGAGGAGATGGGGAATGCAGATAAACACGGACGTTGCCAACCAGATAACCAGGGGTGACGAAAACCACATCGCCGGTCAGGAATGATAGTTTCCAATCCCTTTCATTTACTCTCATATCTATGCTATAACACCATCACACAATTATGAGTTGTCATCATGGGACAAACCACACCCACCTCCTTTATTGTATTTCTTGAAGGTTTCGTTTTCTTTACGAGTTTCTAAGAACATTTCAAATGAATAAAAACTTCTAGCGTCACCCACAAGCTGTCCAAAAGTGTGATCTTGAAACTATAAACTAACAATCAATAATAATAATAGAATGAACCACACCCACCTCATCAAGATCAAAGGA